TCCCAAACTTTTGAAGTGTACTTGCTTCCAAATAGCTTTCCATCTGCATCAGTATCTACACAACAAAAGCAGTGACAAAAATAAATGAATAATAAAATAATAATAATTATGATAAAAATGTAATTAATGTAATAAAGAAGGGAAATAATTCACATATGGTGCCAGAAATAGTAGTAATAATAATAATTATTATTATTATTCTGTCTAGGTTCCTGAGTCATTGTGTTCTCCAGAGTGTCCTTACGGACACAGAAAGCTCATGACCGGACAGCATAAGTGTTGCTTTGACTGCATGGCATGCCCTGCTGCCACCTTCCTCAACAAAACAAGTTCGAAAACACTCCAAATATTATAGAATTAAAAAGTGCTAGTGCATAAGGTTGTTCAATGGAGGAAACACGTAGGATGTTGTACACAGTATATCCAGCAGATGGCACACTTTCTTTATCCTCACCCTCACCCTCCATACTCACCCTCATGTCGTTCCAAACCCCTAAGACCTTCGTTCATCTTCGGAACGCAAATTAAGATATTTTTAATTAAATCCGAGAGCTTTGTGACCCTATTTGGAACGACATGAGGCTGAGTAATTAATGACAGAATTTATATTTTTAGGTGAACTATCCCTTTAAATTCTGTAATGTAGCCTCAGTATGAAACATTTTAAATGCATCTTATACTAACTTGACTTCATATGTTCTCATAGGTTACACTTTCTGCCAGGCGTGTGCCAGAGACTACTGGTCTGAAGCAGAGCGTGAGACATGTAAGAAGAGAGCCGAGCTGTACCTGCCATGGGGCGCTCCGCTCACTACAGCCCTGCTCATATACCTGGGGGCGACCCTGTTTCTCACCCTTGGCACGGCTGTCATCTTCCTGTTCAACCTCAGTACCCCTGTGGTGAAGTCGGCCAGAGGGAAGACCTGTCTGCTGATGCTGGCGTCTCTGACCGTGGCCTCCTGCAGCACGCTGTGCCACTTCAGCAGACCCTCCCACATCGGCTGCCTCCTCAAACAGCCCCTCTTCATTATCAGCTTCACCGTGTGTGACCGTGCGCTCTTTTCAGGTGTATAGAGCTCTCTATTTGACAATGTAGTAGAGGTTAATATCTATTAAGAGGTTAATAGCTGTACGTTATATAACAAAATATTTAACAAATGAAAGATAGCTTTTCAAGCAAAACATGTTTCAATAAGATGTTTGTGAGATTTATAGTTGGTGAAACCAGTGTTAATGAAAACTAAATTGATTAAAATTTTAAAATAAATTTTTATTAATTGAAATAAAGTAAAATATAAATATTAGATGAAAAATGAAAATTAGAAATGTTACTATGGCTAATAACTGAAATAAAGTAAGTTGAAGTACTAAAATTACTAAAACTGAAATGTTAATAGAAATATTTTTTAAAATTCAAGTCTTGTCAAGAGCACATCAAATTACTAAAATTTTAAAATAAATTTTTATTAATTGAAATAAAGTAAAATATAAATATTAGATGAAAAATGAAAATTAGAAATGTTACTATGGCTAATAACTGAAATAAAGTAAGTTGAAGTACTAAAATTACTAAAACTGAAATGTTAATAGAAATATTTTTTAAAATTCAAGTCTTGTCAAGAGCACATCAAATTACCAAAATTTTATGAAAACTGAAAATATAAAATATAAATTAATACTATAATAGTATTTAAACAACAATAAAATAACACTAGATGAAACGGTTTATGTACTGTTCAAAAATAAGAAAAGAATATTTGCTTATGCTCATTGTGATCAAGTTTATCTTAAATATTCGGGATAAACAGTAGTAAAATACAGTAATAATTTTTCACATTATAACCAAAAACTAAAAGCAGTGGTTTTAAATGCTAAGTGAATTTAGGCATTACAACATTATAATGTGCAGTGTGAAAAATGGATATTAATTTTGAGATGACAGAGTTATTAAATTATTGGTATTTTTAAAGATTAAATTTAAGGGAGTGTTAGATGACAACAAAGGTAATCTAATGGTGAAAATAGGGGAAATGAGCATGAGCAATTAAATATCCAATGTTTGCCAATAACTAATATGATATATCTATATTGTGCATTCTTAATAAATAACTTTCATCCTCATCAGTTCTCATATATGACACAAATCTCTCTCTTTTCAGGTGGTTTGTATATTTAAGTGGTCCTCCAAGCTGCCAAGATCCTATGAGACCTGGGCTAAGAATCGAGGCCCTGAGATGTTCATCTTCATCACGACAGTGGTGGAGGTCTTCATCTCTCTTCTTCGCATGCTCCTCGACCCTCCCTTTCCATCTCGGGACTATGACTTCTACAGTGACAGCATTATTCTGGAGTGCAGTAAGACTCTGTCTCTCGGGGCCTTCGCCGAGCTCATTTTTGTGTGTGTTGAGCTTAATTTGTTTCTGCCTGAGCTACATGGGAAAAGATCTGCCGGCCAATTATAATGAGGCCAAATGCATTACATTTAGTCTCATGATATATATGATTTCTTGGATCACGTTCTTCACAGCTTACTGCATTTCCAGAGGGAGCTTCGCCATGGCCCTAAACGTAGGTGCCATCCTGTTTAGTGTGCTAGGGATACTCGGCGGCTACTTTTTGTTAAAAAAAAAAGTGGAAAAAAAAGCCCCAGTTGAATACAACAGCTCACTTCCAAAACTGCATTCAAATGTACACCATGTCCAAGCAGTGAAAGCAAATAAGACTTTCTACTATGTCTCTCAACAGTAGGATAATCCAGTTGAGACTATTAACAATACAGAGCAACATAATCCCAGTTTCAGTCTTTTAGAAGCAGCCGATACTCTAATTGTCTCTGGACTGTGAGTGCTTGGCATATGCGTAGCCAGTGGGCAGAATGACAGAGAAAGCCTAATTGTGTTGGCTACCGAAAGGGCAGAGCACCCGGTTCAACTGGCCTGCGTGAACATCTGTCATGTGTGTCGCTCTCATGGGTGCCCAGTTTCACTCGAAACAATTCGGAGAACAGATTTATTTGGGCAGCTGATTTAAATCATGATCTTGGTCTTGCAGATACAAGGACAGATGGCTTTACTTGTCCTGTTTGTCTTTAGTAATTCTTTAAAGGAATAGTTAACCCTAAAAATGAAAATTTGTTGAAAAACTTCAGGTTATCCAATCCAATCGGAACAGATTTGGAGAACTTTAGCATTGCATCACTTTCTCACCAATGAATCCTCTGCAGTGAATGGGTGCCGTCAGAATGAGAGTTCAAACAGTTCATAAAAACATCACAATAATCCACATGACTCCAGTCCATCAATGAATGTCTTGTAAAGTGAAAATCTGCCAGTTTGTAATAAACAAATCCATTATTTCAGCACTTCTAACCAAAATAATACATCCATAATAACGCTTGTTTCAGTGCTGTCCTCTCACATCAAAATAAATTTGTTCAAAAATGTTTTGGACTGTTTTTGCCTCTAAACAGTGCTTGATCTGTGCATATTATCTGTTCCAATGAAGAAACAAACTCATCTGCATCTTGGATGGCTTGAGGATGAATTAAGTTATCAGCAAATTTTCATTTTTGAGTGAAATATTCCTTTAATATACCTTTAGTCATTTGGCCCTTCAGCCAATTAGAAAAATGGGATTTAATTTCTGTATCAACATTATGATGAATATAGGTTGTGCATATTTTCAAATGCACTTTGTTTTTACAAAAACAGGTTAGGTAGAGCAAAAAAGATGAAAATAAAACATTTTTGATGAACCGTGATAATGATTGATTCAAATGTTCATGTTTGGGTGAAATATTCCTTTAATGCCCAAACAGCATGTGAGAACATTAATGGAAGAACATCTGACCAGCTGTGCAAAGTGTCACAATTTCACTTAATTAGTGACTTTTAAATTTTTTTTCAATCATAAAGCTTTCTGTTTATTACCAGATTTAAATCCAAATTTAAATCCTGAATTTTCCACATAGACTTTTGGACTCCACTTGTTGCTTGTCTAATTGTTCAGTGACACACACACACACACACACTTGCATCAGCCCCTGGGAAAAGAGAGGATGAAAGGCTTGCTGTTGTTAGGGAGGTCATCTCCATTGACTCCGGAACGTGTGAGTTGGGAGCACGGAAGTGTTTCCCACACTACTTTCCTATTGTGAGTGTGATATTCTCAGGAGGGGAGAATAATAGAAGTGTGCCTGTAGAGGGGAGGCTGCGTAATTGTATTTACTTGACGTTACCCATCTGTGCTGGTAGAAACCTCATATAGACATAGTCTAGATTTATTTGAGAGCTTAAAATTGTACAATTGCTCTTAAAATAAAACATTTGTGTTGTATTTTTTATGAATGCCATATGAAATTGGACTTATTCCAGCAAAATAATAATAAAAATAAATAAATAAAAAACTGTATTTCTCTCTGTCTGCCTCAAAAAATAAGTCATTTAGAATTTTTTAAGCTTCTATTTGCTTTATTTTTATATTTTATTATATACACCTTATTTGACAGAACTATAAAATAAAACTATCAATTACAAGTAAAAATAAGTGGTTCACGCAAATTGAGAGTAAGTTTTTAAACCAGTTAGCTCAGTTTACTTACAGTTAGTAGATCAGCCCACAAGTGGTTTTTAGTTTAGTTCCCTTAACCTGTTAACATAAATTCAGTCAGCTTTCATACCACATGCTTTTTAAATCAAACTATTGCACATAATGTGCCAGGTTAGGTGTCTTTAACATGCAAACAGTAATTATTAAAACACCAAAAACCATGAATTGGTAATGTAGAATTTTATTAACAGAAAATATTTGACATAAGAGCTCATTTTCAAAACAGCATTGGTCAAGACAACAAACTGGATCCTTTATCAAAGGTACAACATGCCTTACCTAACAAAAATTGAGAATTCTCAGTGCAAACATAAAGATACTCTGAAAAACTTTGAAGTACAATTTCAATTTAATGATCTGATACAGAAAACTCCACTGGAGTCAATCTCAATTAAATATGCATACATCAAAACATATACAAAAAAACAATTTAAGTAATCACATGTGGTAAAAATCACATTAAGAGCTATTAAAACAGAACAAGAAGCACATAAATCCACCTCTTTCTATTGACAAACACATGTTTGTCTTAAGTTTTTGTCAATCAATATGATGACAACACAAACGTACACCTTGGAAATGAATCTCCTACTTTCATGAGAGACGTTAATACGACTGTCCCTCAGGGTTTACGGTTCACCGCATCTCTACCAGGGTCTCCAGACGGGCCTCCTGATGTCAGGCTGTTGCAAACCAGCCGTGCTCAGTTTAGAGGAAGGTCCTGGTGGAGCGGAGCCGATAGCAGCGCTCGTTTGCTGGCCGTTGTGGAGATGCTGGAGCTCCCAGCCAGGTCCTCCTCCGGTGGAATGAAGAGTGAGGAAGTGGACAGACTCCCTCCAGCAGTGAGAGTAGCCTTCATTATAGTCCCTCTGAGGAAGCCGCTGCTGTTTGAGAAAGCTGACGGTCATTTCCAGGATATCGGCCTTCTCCAGTTTGGCGCTGGGGTCGTGGCTGTGAAACTCCTTCTCCAGGAGACTCTTGAGCTGGTCGATGCAGCTGTTGATGCGGTCTCTGCGCATCTTTTCAACAATTGGCTTCCTCAGCTGAAATCAGATGGGAACACCGATTAGAACATGTTTCAAACTGCATACAGAATGCAATTTTGGTGAATCGTTTGGAAGAAGAATTGCATTGAAATTAAACATACCTTCATTTTGTCCTTGTCACTGAAGTGAAGATGGTCAAAAGACGAAAGCATAACTGAATGGGGTGCCATGTCCAGCTTGCTTTTCTTCGGTGGCAAAAAGAGTTGTGAGTCTCTTTGAGGAACAAACCTAGAAATTCTTCCTAATTCTTAGTCAGGTGTTTGTTCATATATGTCTTTTTTTTCTCTCTCTCTCTCTCTCTCTCTCTTTATTTTATTTATTTAAAGTGCTAAACAATATAGGGACATTTCATGTCAACTCAAACAGAGGTCCCCGCTCACATTTTTGATATTGCTAATATGGAAAGATAAACATGTATAGTGATGAAAGCCAAAATATTAAATGTCATGGGTGAATAATTACGGAGTAATCCACTATTTTGTAGAGGGGGGTCAAAATGGCAATTTTCACCTGAGATTCAGAGCCAAATTACAGGGGGTTAAAATGACTTCAGGAAGATGGCAACATCATTATGTTACTTTCACACAGAGATTAGTAGGTCTATTAGTAAAATCTGTTGACTTTAGCTGTCTTTGTTGCATTATGTGCCAGTGGTGACCATTCAAAAATGGTTTTGGAAAAAAAAGTTTTTTCTTCAAAGTTTGCAGGCATGTAACTCAAAAAGTATTAAAGATATCTATAATGCCCTTTTAGATATTGGGTCTTAACATACTTCCCTAAAATAGTGGATTACTCAGTAGGTCTAAATATTCATCCATGACATTTAATATAATGGCTTTCATCACTATACATGTTTATCTTTCTTCAGAAAAAATATTAGCAAAATCAAAAATTTGAGCCGGGGACCTGAGTTTATATGGTATGACCCTATAAGAATACATTTTTAACCCTATAAAATATTGAAACAAATTGAATATTTTGCTTTAGCATGATGAGTAGTACATTGTGTGATTTGTTGATGCAACATTTTCCAATCATTCAATAATATTTCTACTTAAATTTAATTTGCATAGGTCTCTATATATCTGCCCTTACCTTGTTCAGTGTGCAGCACCTGAAGAGCATAATGTTTTCTAGAATATTTATACGTTCTCTGTTTATACGTTTTCTGTCATTTCTGTTCGGTTTGCCTTTTAAATTTACCTGGCTGCAATTGAATTTGTGAATCTGTACAGGATGTGCAGTTTTGCAGATCTGCCACTTTGAGGCAAATTGTGGGTGTAAGTTCAACATCACTTTCTGATGACAGGGATGCCACCTATCCTAACTGATTATAAGGTGTCTTGCTAGGAGATCATTATTGCTTGAGTGGATAACAAAGCACACACAAGCTTGTTTGTAATTCCATATTTATCAAATATGTAACTGAAACTAACTGATGTGATGTAAAAGTAAGTGGAATGTGTGAATATGAAGGTAGGAACACTGAATGAATGAGCACATTGCCACAGAAAAGTTTATGTAAAATAGATATTTATTACTTTTATAAAACATTTGCAGATGATATCCAGCATCTTCATTTAGTCTACCACTGGGCTTGATTGTTGGACACACCTTTCACTTGTTTAAAACGCAGTTACCTAAATAATCTTTATAAAAGAATTTGTTGGTCATATAGTTGATTATATAAAATCTACAACACCAGCAATAAAATATTCCAAAAAAGAACATGCTGGAGGTTCTCACAGTCTGCAGCCAATGGGAGCGTTTGGGCCGCCACATGGCTGCTGAAGCCCTTATTGCTCCGACACAATGAGCGCATCTCTGGGGAGCAGGTGGAGGGTGGGAGAGTGTGTGAGAAAGTGCAGCTTGTTGCTCACCGTAAGGATTAATTGCTCAAAAAAGCACGTGCTGTTTATATGAAAGACCTACAATGAAAATAATGGTTCGAAATTTCTTCCATTTCTCCCTTCTTTCTAGAATAATTTATAGAAGTATTAAATATCATTATTAATAGTGATTTTAAAAAGTCAAATACAATCATAAGGACAATAAACGGGTGGTTTCAAATGCATTTTTCTGCCAATAAATAATCAACTACTAATCATCAACAAAATGATTATTACACTATGGCAAAAATATTCAGAAAATTATAGTTTTACACTCCATTTTATTGAATTAATCTATTTATTGAATTCTCACTTCTAAGTATGAATCTATGAGTCCAAACAAGCAAACAAATGCCCATCTCAATTAGGGACAGTCATAAATACCCCTGTGAGGTTTCTATAGAGTCCCTTGACGACTTGCCTAATTGCCTGCAGCAAGGCACACTTCTATTCATCTCTGATGAATGGACAGACTGTGGGAAAGCTGTGGAAAGTGCAGTCCCAGTCCTGAACTACATCACCTTCAAGACTTCATTCTGAGAGAGGACGTCTGAACTGCATCTGAAAGAGTAAACCTGTGGCACCGTACTCGAATCGAATTGCTGTCCTGTTTTTTTTTCCCCCCAAAAAAATCTTAAGTAAATCTTTTAATTAAAGGCCAATTAACTGTCATGTTAGAAAATGGTTAACACTGTTGATTGATTAAACCAGGAGCTATTCAGCAAAACGTTATGCTTTTTGCAACAGGTATTCTGAATTGATTCATCAGGTATTATAAGAGAATTATGGCATCGGAAACATGACTGGATATTTTCCACTTAAACTTGAAAATGAAACATTTGTTTTTACAAAAATTAATTAAACATTAAAAATTACAATTCATTTACAAAAAAACTTTTGATTCTACACTACTAATAGGTCACTTATCAAATATGCAAATTGCCTGATGGCATTGATCAATTAAACAACAGATATAAAAGATATCATTTTAATATAATCTTTTTTTTTAAACGAAAAAGCAAAATATAAGCATTTTCACTAGTGGTCTCAGACATACACTTAATAAAAATGGCGCATACTCTTGTATTGGTTTCTCAGCATCAGATGAGACTTCAAAAAGGGTTTCTGCTTTCTCACAAACTTCCTCCCTGTAATACATCCCTCTCCACCTGCCTGTCAGAGACGTGCTCATTGTTCCCCGTGCAATAAATGCCTCACTGAGCATGTGGCAGCCCTCTGCTCCTTTGAGACTTTCGAACGTGTAGCTTTTTCACCCATATTGGGTTTATTCTTTCACTGCTTTCATTTACTGAAAGCTTTTTGTTATATTTCGGTTGTTTGAAACAGATCTAATGCTTCTCTTATTATATGAGAAATATTTTTTCATTTGAAGGAAAGATTTGATTGTGTGTTGAAAGCACAAATAATTGTTTTTAATGTTTGCATGTGTTTACGTGAATGAGACGTTTCCCCTGTAAAGGGCAGTTGTTTATCGTCACTGTTAGTGATTTCAATTTTATTCTTTGTATTCAAAGTCAAGTTCTTACCATCTTTGAAGTGTCTTGCATTGCACATTGCACTGGCTTAATACTTAATACTTAAATGTCTGTGACATTGTAAATTTCTTCCCAGTTCAAGAGAACTACATAATAACATGAGTTCTTCATGATTGTGAAAATATGTATTGACATATTGTCAGTAATGTTACTGCTTTGTTACTTTAAGACACTAGAATGTCCTTCAAAGTCGAGGCACATGTTTATTGTCAGATTTGCTCACGTATGAAGAGCAGCAATCATATTGCTTATGACAAATAAATTGTACAATCAAAGGTTTTGTTTGGTGTTATGTTTTATATATTCTTCATATTTTTTTAATAAAGTATGTCTGAATAGTATAGTCTCATCAAAAACTCTAACCCTCTAAGTATTAGTAACAGTATTCTTCAGGTTTAACATTTCAAGAATTGGGTTGAGAATCAGATACATTTTTAAATTTTTTTAAATTTATTTTGTTTTTTAAAGATATTAAAATAGCATAGGCCTAACCGGTGAACCTGACTTGATATTAGTTTCTAGCTCTCAGAAAATGTGTGTATTTACAGTAATTACTTGAGAAATAAATTCCTGCATATTTTTTCCATGCAGGTGCAACTCATATAGTTCTCACAGTGAATGAATATTCATGTTAAAATACAGAGACTGCAAAATATAGAACATGGTCTGTGTTACACAAAACTTTGTTTTTCTGTAATTAATAACCCAAAACCCATTACATATCAACCTACACTGATAAGGAGACAATAGAGGACTGTCTCTGATGGGGTAAAGCTGTACTGAGACTCCATTCCCTGCAGTTTTCCCACACTCTGCCCATTCAGAGAACTCAACAATTAAGAACAATTCAGCACATGGCCATAAGAACTTCAACAGGGACCCACGGGACAGATTCTTCTGAATCATTAGCATTCGTCTTATTACTGAAAGACATATTTAGAGTATTTGGAGATTACTCTTTTAAAGTTTGAGGCATTGTTATACACATAAAACATAGAAAAAGATTGAAATAGATAATGTTTTATGTTATCTGAGTCTGAAACTGCTATTTTAAATTATGGTTATCCTATGTCAATTTTAGAGTCATGACTAATGAGAAATACTTTGTAATTCCTATTATTTGCCTCATATGTGTATAACTTAATGTTTACACTACCATTCAATAGTTTGCGGTCTGTCTTATGTTTACCAAAGCTGCAATTATTTAATCAAAAATACAGTAAAAGCAGTAATATTGTGAAATATATATTTTTTTAATTTCTATTTCAATGTAATTTAAAATGTATTCATGTGATGAAAAAGCTGAATTTTCAGGTAAAAAACAAAACAAAGCATGTATTAGCCTATTATTATCAATGATTAAAACAGTTGTGCTGTTTAATATATTTGTAGAAATGTCATACATTTTTTCAGGATTCTTTGATAAATAGAATGATTAAAAGAACCTAATTTATTTGAAACAGAAATATTTTGTAACATTATAAATGTCTTTACTCTCACTTTTGACCAATTTAATGCATGTTTGCTAAATAAGAGTATTATTATTATTTTTTTTTTTTTTTTTAATCTTGCTGAACACAAGCATTTGATTGGTAGTGTATACCTGTGTCTTGCAACCTTTTTTTGTCTTATGTACCCCCAAAGTCCCATCAGATCAGAAAGTAATTCATAATAGTTTATTTTTTTTAGCATTATCATTAATATTATTAGAGTCGCCAGTATTATTTCAGTAAAAAATAATTACTATCATTTTTATATTTGAAAAAAACTGAAAAAAAATATGAAATTAATTACAAGTTTTATTTTATTTATTTATTTATTTAAGTTTAAGTATTTATGTACCCCCAATACCCCAAGTACCCCCGGAAACCTGCCTAAATACCCCCAGGGGTCCACACACGCCTGCTTTATAGGAATCACTCATTTATTTTGATAAGGGACATCTGAATTACACTGAAAAGATACTCAGCGGAACAGTTATTATTAAGCTACTTGCACATCCACCAGAAAATAAACCGTATGATGAATCAATTGATTCTCCTCCTGTTGAATAAAAACTGAAATATGTTGCGTTGTGTTTTGGCGATGGGAATGTTCCACTATTAACGGCACGTGCTTTGTCAATAAATGACCCAAGTGTCACACAACAAATAAAGCTTTAAACGAAGGGTCTCCACTTTCTCACACACTCCATCCTTAACACCCACCCCTCCACCTGCTCCCCAGAGACGTGCTCATTGTTTCCTGAGCAGTAAGCATGTCATTTAGCATGTGGCGGCTCTCTGTTCCTTGTGCCATTAGTCCTCTCCCATTGGCTGCAGACTGTGAGAACCTCCCGCAAACTCCAGACTCACACATTCATATGGAGATTTGGGAGTATAAATAGAGGGAGAGGAGAGAGAGTTGAGCACAGATCTCATCTGATCCTAACGGAGAACTGAACACAAGACACACAGCCATGGCACCTACAATCACTGGATCAGTCATCAGCAGAGAACAACTTCCACTCTCAAACAAGGTAAATATTCAGCATCTCATATCTGACTGCATAAATCATAGATTATGAAATATAAACAGCATAAATGATGGATAAGAGTTTCTAAATGCATGTTCCTAATGTTTCCTCAGCTGAGAAAGCCAATAGTGGAGAAGATCCGCAGAGAACGAATCAACAGCAGCATTGAGAAGCTCAAGTCTCTTCTGGGTCAAGAGTTCCTAAAGCAACAGCCCGACTCCAGACAGGAGAAAGCTGATATCCTGGAGATGACGCTGGATTTCTTGAGACGCCAGCAGCGCTCCCAGAATCCCTCGGCCTGCAGCTCTACTGCAGCTCGTGACGGACGCTCCAGATGTGTGCAGGAGGCCGTCAACTTCCTGTCTCAGTGTCCAGTGCAGACGGAGTCCCACAGAAGACTGCTGAAGCACTTCCTGCACACGCAGCCCTACACAGAGAACAACACACGAGTGCCGCCTCAGATCAGTTCACCAGCCGCACAGAGCAGCAGCAAAGAGCAAACTCTGGCGCTCTGGAGACCCTGGTAGAGCCACCAGCACCCGTATGATTTATCAGACAGAATTCATAATGCCACTCTGAGATTGGCATGGACTGAAATTCTAATGTAGGAATTGATTTCCGCCTCTGCTGCTTATGCCGGACCTTTAATCTGCTTTCAGAGAAAGTGTGTTTCATTGAAACTGTATGACCAGTGGTATTTGATGAAAATGTATAGAATCATTTGCTGTGTAAAATGATTACTACATTCGTGAAAATTAAGATTGAAACAAACGTTAAAGTCTTATTCAGACGTCTGAGCTCTTGTAGCTCTTTCACCCATATTGGGTTTATTCTTTTACTGCTTTCATTTACTGAAAGCTTTTTGTTAAATTTCGGTTGTTTGAAACAGATCTAATGCTTCTCTTATTATATGAGAAATATTTCCTCATTTGAAGGAAAGATTTGATTGTGTGTTGAAAGCACAAATGATTGTTTTTAATGTTTGCATGTGTTTACGTGAATGAGACGTTTCCCCTGTAAAGGGCAGTTGTTTATCGTCACTGTTAGTGATTTAAAATTTGTCTTTTATAGGCAAAATCAAGTTTTTACCTTCTGTGAAGGTGTCTTCTGTGCATTACTTCATATTGAAGTAGAGAATAAAAATAAATTTGAATATATTTCCTGCCTATAATCCCTTGTTGTCACTGAATTCCTTGTCCATGAGTTTAACTCATCACAGCACATTTGCACACTTTAAAAGTTATTCAAATCTATTATTCAAATCTACTATTTGGTTTAAACTCTATATTGTGTTTCAAGATGCACATGTACTTAAAAAATATGCCTATAAATGACACATTTGTCAATTCACATTTATAAGCAAAATTATAGTGTCTCTAATCAGGTTAGTTTGCAATTTATTCATGCCATATTTGACTACTGACCTTTTAGTACATTAACTGCAGTAATTCAATGAAAAATAATGCATTTTAATCACATTGAGCACTCAACATCCAGTATAGCTCAGACCCGAATTTCACCAAGCAGAGATAAAACATAATTACCTACAGTAAGCGAATGTGTGGTTTATTAGTGGATAAATAAAGATATATATGTGTAGAGGAGTTCATTTCTTGAGACGACAGCAGCCCAATCTCCATTACACAGCAAATCTGATTTCTTCAGATGTAAACAGGAGACAGTCAACAAGACTACAAGGCAAACCATACTATCATATTCAAACTTATTATAAGCATTCTCAGGGGAAAAAAAGAGGTACAAAAGCTGTCACTGGTGTGTTACCCTTACAAAAGGTACATCTTTGTAGCTTATTTGCTCACAAAGGGTGCATATTAGTAAATGCACATAGTACCTAAAGTGTACATATTATTACCTAAATGGTAGCACCCCACTGACAGCTTTCCTTTGAGTGTAGCTGTGATTTCATTTGACTTGACAGATGAAGAACTGACTGAAAATATTCAGATTATATGTTACGTTAATCACTAAGACTAAACAGCAATTAAAACATCTTTATAATGTGCAAAAGTGCTGTGATTTATTTTGATTGATGAAGAAAACATACAGATTATATTCTTAAAATTTATTTTCATGTTGCACTTCAATATAAAGTAATACAAATGCAGAACACACCTTCAAAGAAAGTAAGAACTTGACTTTGAATACAAAGAATAAAATTGAAATCACTAACAGTGACGATAAACAACTGCCCTTTACAGGGGAAACGTCTCATTCGTGTAAACACATGCAAACATTAAAAATAATCATTTGTGCTTTCAACACACAATCAAATCTTTCCTTAAAATGAAGAAATATTTCTCATATAATAAGAGAAGCATTAGATCTGTTTCAAACAACAGAAATATAACAAAAAGCTTTCAGTAAATGAAAGCTATTTATTTATTTATTTATTTATTTATTTATCATTCTAGGTATGATTATGACATGTTTCACATAAAAGCAACAAATAAATATAACAATGAATATAAAAAATATATACTTTATATTTAAAATGTATTTATTTGTTTGTTTGTTTTCATTTTAACTTATTTTTTTATTTTGTGTTTTTCAAGCTTATGCCATTGCAAACTAAAGTACAATATCTGAAGTGTGTACAGGCTCTTTTCCTCTCAGCTTTATGAGGTCTGGGCAGCACACTTCTCTCTTGGCACACTCTCCCCACACATACTTAAGACACTTCCAGCTGTCTGGCCTGCTGTCTGCTGGCGACTCTCGGTCACACGCTCCACACAGTGAGAATCTGGGAGCGCTTGTGCAGCACGGCTTCCCACACTTATTCACTGACACTGATCCCACTGATAAAAGAAGCGTGGCCCATTACACAATGTCAGAGTGACCCTGCCTCCCACTTCCCAGCACTCACTGTTCTCACAGCACCTCCCAGGCAGCCAGGCTCGCCATCTGGAGGCATCACTCAATTACTTCCCTTAAACAACAGCGTCCCAGCTCTAGAGTGTACAACATAGGCTATATCAGATAACATCATCTGCTCATTCTAAGTTTTTCTTTCTTTTTTTTTTTTTTGGACAA